CTTTGGAAGCATTTGTGTAGTGCTCACTCAGTGGGCTGCCATTTTTTCACTATACATAGTCTCCACCAGGAGACACAATTTTGTACTATTCTTTCCTTTTAATAGAACAGTATACTTTATCAAAAAACAAATTTAACTATTCAACAATTACCAAAATTCAACTATTTGAACTCAGTCAACTCACGATCATGTGTGTTTTGATGGGATTTCTGAAATTAAATCAAAAGAAACACGTAAAATATTAAATTGTTCATCTCTAGTGTATTTTGATAAATTTCCTAATCAACCACATTTCAGTCATTTCTAGATAATTAAGGATCAGCCTTTCGGATGAATGAGAAGTATAAAGGGTTTAGAGATCTTTCATTTGTAAGCTAGCTTTTGGTCATGGGTTATTCAAGAAAACCAATGAAAACATATCACGTCTCAATAAATTGTATATAAAGGGCATCACAGTTTCCTTTGGAAAATGGGAGACAAGAAAACCCACTTCAAGTTTGCAAATGTAAAATGAGGCATGGATGAGGCAGCGGATAACGGATATGGTCCCTAGAGTTTCCTAGCTAATCAGACCCTATAAATTTATCTAGCCATAAAAAGAGAACCTAAAATACATAAAATGCTAATTCAACAAATAATGGAATGAAAATTAATTGAGGTAAACCACCATTAATCATCTTACATCCAAGAATTCTAATCCAGTTGCCGAGGGTGTCAAGCCACGATCGGATAAATACTGGGGATTAAAGAATTTACTCAGATGCCTCATACCACTGTCACAAAGAATCGTCACGATTGTATGGCCTGGCCCAAGTAACTGTGCCACCCTAACTGCTCCAACACAATTCATGGCTGATGAACTCCCAACAAACAGCCCACCGTTCTTCAGTAAGAACCTGCCCTCATGAGAGAGAGAGACGGAGACAGACGAGTTCAAATGGCATAGGAACGAGAATAAACAGTTTTCATATCAAATTACTTGATACACAGGAAATGTGGATATTTTCCACACACACAGTAACACAAAGATATTCGTCATGGTAATTCACTTTAACACAATGCAAACCTGGACATTTCCACGGCCTCCATGTCTGTGCCCCTAAATGCTCCATCCAGCCTTGCCATCATGAAGTTCTTTGTAAGCCTGTTTATGCCGATCCCTTCGGTTACGGTATCAAAAGGGTTCTTCAACCTCCGGCCCTCTGCCTCCTCTCTTGTATACATTACTCCCCTGGTCACCTTGTTGTACAAGCCTGAACCAGGTGGGTCTATAAGGAAGCACTTGATATCATTCTTCTTTTCCTGTAACAAGAGAAAGGTCAAAATACCTTTAATTCAGAATCTCAAAATTCTAAAGTAGAATCAAGGGGAACTAATGACAAGATGTACTTGCTTGAGATTCTATTTAACATCATTAGCAGTTGCTCTATCAAACCCACTATCTAACAGCATTAGCAGTTTCTCTACCCAACCCAGAACATGATGAGGTCATTTTTTAGGGTGGAGTACCCTCTGCCCTAAAAACAACACAAATTCCATAAAACAAAAACAACACAAAAATAAAGAAAAGACTCATTCCAAGAAAGGAGCGAATTTTAGGGAACTCTCTGATGATGGCAGACTCTTTCCCCTTTTATGTTGACATACAGTTTTTCTTTTTTCCTTTCTCTTCTAGGGTTATGTCACTTCGATCATGTTTCCATGCAATTTAACATGGTATTTTAATTTTGTGGGGTGTGTGTGTGAGAGTGAGAGAGAGAGATTATAAGAAATACAAACCTGAAGGAATCGGGAGATACCAGCAATACAAACCTGAAGGAATCGGGAGATACCAGCAAGTGTGCCCCCTGTACCAGCAGCTGCCACAAAAGCGTCCAAATTTTCTCCTGTTTGGGCCCAAATCTCAGGACCAGTGCCTTCATAGTGAGCACGAAAATTGGCAAGGTTTTCAAATTGGTCAGCAAAGAAACCTCCTTTGCAATCATTTGGGAACACAAAAGCAGGGCTAATATCAGGGCTCACATGACCATTTGGTAGAGAGTCAATAGCTCTTGTTTTCTTTGCTTCTTTGTCATGTTTTCCTTGAGAGAACTTGGTTGCTTCTGAGGCTCTTCGCCTCGCAACATTAACAAAGTGGTCCTTGTGTGTTATTGAAACAGGTCTCACTCTTTCTACAGTGGCTCCAAGAGATTCAAGTATTTGCAACTGAAGAACACTCAACAAATAAGAAACCCTGCAATATTTTTTATGTGTGTGGTGTGTGTGTTTTTTTTGGGAGGGGGAGGGAGGGTTACAAATAAATCCCATTATAACTTTGTAGATTTAAAACAAGGGTTGCATATTATATCATATTATATATTATGCAAACACAACAAGGGTTGCATATTATATCATATTATATATTATGCAAACACCCCCCCCCCCGCCCCTCGCCCTCCCCTTCCCCCTCCCCCTTTTTTGTCATTCTTTTAATCCCCAAATTGCCCCAGTTCAGACGCCGGGTGTTCACACGAGGTATTCTTTTCTTTTTTAAGTGGAAGACAGGTTTGTACATTGCGTAAATGCGTCAGTCCAGGTCTAATTTCCGAACCTATCTCCACTTAAAAAATCACAAGTGACCAAGTTCAAACGCTCAATGCTTGAACCCACTCATTTTCTTGTTCTTTTTATTATTATTATAATTATGTTTGTATGTGAGGTGGGTTAGGACATTGGGTATCCAAACCCGCCTAATGGAGTTTTTCTCAATTGCATATCCGAACTAGTCTCCCACCTAAAAAGAAAAATCTTAAGTGGGCGTATTCAAACATTGGGTGTATGAACTCGCCGACTTATGATTTTTAAGTGGGAGATGAGTTCCACTACTGGAGGGTCTGGACCTCCAGTGCACGAACTCATCTCCCACTTTAAAAAAATATTGGGTGCAAGTATGGACATTGAGTGTCTAAACCCATCTCCTACTTGAAAAAACATGTGAGCAAGTTCGGACACTGAATATATGAGCATGTCCACTTGTAAAAAAGTATAAGTGGAGTGGTTCGGAACCCAATGTCCAAACTCACCTCCCATTTAACGAAAAAAACAAATGAGACCCCCTCGATTTGGGAATTAAAAAAAAAGACAAAAAAGTGGTACCTTTGCGTAATCTATAACATACGTGATCCTTTTCTTAAGTATACATCTTACAATGAGATTTAACTGCAAATTTCGCTCCCCTCTCTCTCTCTCTCTCTCTCTATATATATATATATATATATATATATATATATATATAATAAACAACTAACAACACCATGAGGACTACTACTAGTATTAC